AAAGAAGAAGAAAAAGAAGAAGAAATCGAGAAATTTCCCCTCGAACTCGTTCCTTTTCCCTTCCCACGCGAACCGACGCGAAAAGGTGTCGAAAAGCTACTGTGCGTGGCCCTCCCCCACGAGTCGGTTTTTCCACGAGTCGGGCGGCGGAAGCACGTGTCGCGATAAGCGAGGCGCGGGACGAAACGAGCGGGTTGATAATCGCGCGGAACACGAGGAGCAACGGGGAATCGCTTTGTGGCGACTATTTGCGGAGGCAGGCAGGCAGAGGAGGTTGGAGGCCGCGGGAGAAAGGGAAACCGGTGGAGAGCGGGGAGGGGTGGCGCGCGCGTTTCAGAAAAAGGGTGAGGGGGAGAAAAGCGTATCGGGTTGGAAAATATGTTGCTCGCGGAACCGACGCGTAATACCCACGCATCCCTCCTTTCTCTTCACCCTCCTCTCTCCATCCCTTTACTGTTTCTCGCCCGTTCTTCTCTCTCTCTCTCTCTCTTTCTCTCATTCGTTTCTCGTTTTTTTTTTCTTCTTCCTCTTCTGCACTTTTTTTCGATCATCGTCGGATCGAGGAGTATATATATTCGAGTATCCGGATTTGATCGATTATTTTAGCGTATAAATAAAAGCTGAATGTGTAGACGTTTGTTAAATCTATGTAAATAAGATTGTAAAAAATTTTTTTTTGGTTAATTTCATCGTTGAATTCCGTTCTTTTTTATGTTGAAAAGGGATTCTTTCCTCTTCCTTTTTGCAAATGAATTTTTTTTTGTTTTGGAAATTCAAAGAGATTATCGGTAAAATATTCGATCAATGAAAATTAATGAAACAAGTGGGAAATTTTCAATAAGTGAGAAAATTTCTTCCAGGCTGTATGCTTGGAATCACTGGAAACGTTCGGGGGAAGAGAAAAGGCGAAATTCATTATCCACGTGTACACATCACGTGTGTACACTCAGCACGGGGGAACAAAGAAATATAAAATGAGAGTAGGAGAGGTGGGGAAAATGGCGGGCGAAAATACGAGAGGGAAACACGATAATGAAATCTCGGCACAGTCGATGAACCCTTACAGGGATCGAATCGTTTAAACGCATTTAACGTTTCACGTCGTTGTTTCCTTTTTCTCTTTTTTTTTTCATCGAGATTTCGCGGATTACTCGAAGCGAATGGGACGCGCAGTTTCCGCTCTGATGGACGCTCTGATTGTCCGAAAGGAAACTCAAAATTAAGTATTTTTGTAGAATATTTTTCCACTTTTGACAAAATATTCGATGATTTTTAATTTTTTTTAAAAGAGTTTAAACAATCGTAGAATTTTTTAGAATAGTTAAAATTTATAAAAGAAGATATCATTGAGAATTTCGAAAGAAATTGTATCGATTAAAAGATTCTTTTAATTGAAGGATATTATAGAAAGTTTAACATTTTTTTTTAATCACTTCTAATCGTACAATTTCGTTTGGAATAGTTAAAATTAGTTTAGAATTTATAATAGAATTAAATATCACTAGGGTATTCATTTCTTTTCTTTTTTTTTTAGCGAGAAAGATATTTAATACAACGAACAATCGTTAAAACAATTTTCATTACGAAACTTGATAAAACAATCCGATCGAATATGTTTCGTTCCGAATATATTAACGAACTTGTGTATTCTCTTTCCAAAAAAAAAAATACGTTCAATTGAATTATATCGTCAAATATTCAATTTTATTATAATGAACTGAATTTTTCTTTCGTATATATATAATAACCAACACCGTATAAAAACAGGAATAATTTAATCTTTGGGAAATGGAATTAAATTCGCGCTACGAAGATCATATTTTTCGTGTAATTTACTAAGAGTAATTCGTCTGTGGATAATTCGAGCAACGCGATTAAAAATTAACACGTAATTTCAACTGACAAGTACGAGTTTTCCGCGACGATAAACGGAGGGGAATAAATTATTCCCTTGTTCAAACGCGTATCATTATGTGTTGTGCAAATTTTAATTTAATTTTTTTTCTTTTTTTTTTTTTTTTTTTTAAAT